TTAATTAAAAATGTTATTTTTTCCTTTTCTCTACCTTTATTTATTCAAAATTAATTTTTTGCTTCCCTTCACTTCTCCTTTATTCTCTTTCCTTTCTCTTCTTTTATTAATTTTTATCCAAACAAACATTTAATCATTAAAATGACTTTTAGAGGACAAAAAAAATTTTAATTTAATTTTTTGACTTTATAAAAAATTTAAGTAATAACTAAATATAGCATCCAAGAGGGATACGGGATTGAAATTATATATATATATATATAAAATCTAGTTTGAAATTTTATTAAAACTATAAATTTTACAGTGTTGAAAGAAGCTGTAAATTTTAAAAGATTTGACTTTTGACGAGCACAACCAGATTTAACGGTACGAACATCCAGATTAACTAACACTGTAAAAATGGAAAAGAGAAAAACTTTAAAAAATGGCGACACCCACGTTCGTCCGTCGTAATGGTCATCATCAACTTAACTCGCCCTCTCTCTTACTCACTTCAAGCAAAACACCAAAATATACTTTCTGCTATCCCATGACTCTTCGTCCTCCTCATTCAGATCCAAAAACAGCATTAACAACGATAAGGACCCACCATGCTAGCCCTGAACCCTGCCGTCTTTCTTCTCCTACTCGTCACCCTCTTTCTCTCCGCCATTTCCACATCGGGGTTTGGCTCACTGGGTCCCATCTCCGCCGCGTTTGGAGACAACAGGTTCTTTTGCGCCATTGATGCAAGCGGCAAGCAGGAGGTTATATGTTGGGGGAAGAACAGTAGTTCTTTGTCACCATCATCGCCGTCATCTTCATCCTCTGCTTTCTCTGGCGAAGTTCCCGCGATGGCAGCTCTGTCCGGCGGTGAAGGGTTCCTTTGTGGCATTTTGGCGAACACCTCGCAGGCGTTTTGTTGGAGCTCAGTGGGGTCAGGTAAAGATCTTGTCCCTTCCATTTATCAGACTACTGCTTATTCCCATATTGCCGCTGGGAAGAATCATGTCTGTGCCATTAGAGGCTCTTATTATTCTAATCACGATTCTGGTATTGTTGATTGTTGGGAAATTGAAACCAGTTCTAACAATAGCTTGAGATCAAGACAGAGTGGTCTATACTATGATCTATCTGTCAATAATTTTGTGTTCAAAAGGATTGTTTCAGGTGAGGGATTTAGCTGTGGTGGGGTTAGAGATGGAGGGCTTGTTTGTTGGGGCCCAAATTCTACAACTTTGGGGGTTTCCAATGTTTTTGAAAATTTTGTTGCTTTAGCTTCAGGAAGAGGTTCTATTTGTGGGATTTCTAATTTGTCTGCGGAGGTCAAGTGTTGGGGAAACAATGATTCATTTTCAGCTCCTCCTTCTGGGATCAAGTTTGTGTCACTCACTGCTGGTGCTCACCATTTTTGTGGGATCAGGAAGGATGATCATGGGGTGGAGTGTTGGGGGAACTTAAATTTTTCTTCGGTTCCAAAGGGCTCTGGGTTTGTGGCGATTGCTTCATCGGACTATACCACATGTGGTATCAGGGAAAATGACCTGGTTCTTGATTGCTGGTTTACTAGTGGCTCTGTGCCACCTGATTATAATCCACCATTGGAATTGTGCAGTCCTGGCCTTTGTTGTCCTGCTTCCTGTCGTGAAGATCAGTATGCTTTCAATGCTAGCAGTCTCAGTGAGCCGGATTTGACAAACTTATGTGTTAGAAAAGATTTAAAGATTTGTTCACCTTGTGGATCAAATTGTACTGAGGGTTTCTTCTTGTCTAGTCCATGTACTGCAAATGCTGATAGAATATGCACTGCTTGCTCACTTTGCCAGAACAGCTCTTGTTGGAATGTTTGTGGGATTAAGTCATCTCCAGGGAAGTACTGGCATCGATGGCATAGATTCATTGTCATAATTGGATCTTCAGCTTCAGGCACTCTATTGATATTACTTGGCTGGTGTCTTCTTCCACGAGTGTTCTCTCCTAAAAAAGAAGAAAGGACCAAGAAACAGTTTAAGTCTTGCATAGGCAAGCCAGAGTTGGATACACATGCCCCCCCGTATTCTCTTCCTCCTCTAACTGTATCCCCATGTCCCGGGACAGCTCAGATTTTCAGATTGTCAGAGCTGAAAGATGCCACTAATGGGTTTAAGGAGTTCAATGAGCTTGGTAGGGGCAGTTACGGATTTGTTTACAAAGCTGTCTTGACGGATGGGAGGCAAGTTGCAGTCAAGAGGGCTAACGCAGCCACGATAATCCACAAGAACAGCCGTGAATTTGAAATGGAATTGGAAATCCTTTGCAGTGTCAGGCATAGCAATATTGTGAATTTGTTAGGTTATTGCTCCGAGATGGGGGAGAGGCTGCTGGTTTACGAGTATATGCCCCATGGAACGCTCCATGACCACCTTCATGGAGGTCTTTCTCCTCTAAATTGGAGCCTTAGGCTGAAGATCTCAATGCAGGCTGCAAAGGGTCTTGAGTACCTCCACAAGGAAATTGTCCCTCCAGTTGTTCATGGGGATGTCAAAAGTTCAAACATCCTTTTGGACTCGGATTGGGGAGCACGAATAGCAGATTTCGGGCTTCTTCCATCAAGTGAGAGGGATCTTACTGGAGACATGAAGAATGATGTTTATGGCGTTGGGATTGTGTTACTGGAAATTCTCAGCGGAAGAAAATCTTATGACATAGAGTATACACCTCCCAGCATAGTTGAATGGGCAGTGCCCTTGATTGAGAAGGGCAAGGCCGCAGCCATAATTGATGGTAATGTTGCTCTTCCAAGAAATGTTGAGCCATTGCTTAAACTAGCAGTTATTGCAGAATTGGCTGTCAGAGAGAACCCCAGCGAGCGTCCTTCTATGTCAGATCTGGCAACTTCATTGCAGCAGCTTGTGAAGGATGGATTGATCTTGTAATCTTCAATTTGGGTCCTGAAATTTTTAAGCAAAGCAAAAGGATGGGTTAGCATTGCAGATATCAGAGCTTTCCAAGTGAATATTAGCTAATTTCGCAACTGTACATTTGATATGAGCTTTGTGTACATGAGATGCAATTATGTTAAATCTGAGTCATTGTGAAGGAAATAATCTTCTTGTATGATGAGATTTTTATCCATTTAACTGTAATGCAATAGTTTTTGAGCGCTACAAATAAACTGTTTAGAAAATCGTCCTTGCAATTATGGACTAATGCCATAGTTCTTGACGCTTCATTTCATCTTAAAACTTTAAATGCAAATTATTAATAATAGTTGTCTTAATTCCTATATAATACTACTATAGTACCCACTCACAATCTTAAAATTCCGTTTAAATTACTATTTATGACACAGTGAAGAATGTCCTCTCTGTCCGTGAAAGAGAGAAGGCAGAATCTAAAAAAATCAGGTCCCAAGGTCGATCCAAACACAAAGGTCCCAAAACCTTTTTGCTTTAAGGTCCTAGAGCTCAGCCTTTTCTGACATAAAGAAAGAAAAGAAAAGAAAAAGAATTCCACTTTTCCATCCAATCCCATAAACGATAAAATGTACGTAGTTCAACTCAAAACCCCTAAATGACTAAAAACCCTCACAACTCATGCTTTTTTCTGTCTACTTGTTTCAAGAATTAAGGGAAGAAGAGAACACCACGTCCTTTTTTCCAACATATCATTGAGAGTTCTCATGGAGATCCTACAAAAAAAAAAAACTTTGCCCTTCTCTCCATTGCCTTTTTGGGTACTTGAATAGGAATTATGGAGGTGAAGAAGGAACTGGTGTTTTTGTTTTGGAATTTGGTTTTGCAGCATTGCAGATTTGCAGGAAATGGTGGAAGCAAAATTCCTATGAGGTGTTGAGTCTGGCCCACCTTAGAGCATATGGTGAGGAATGAAAAGAAAGCTGAAGAGATGGGAACAAAGGTACATGAGAGGTATGAGAGGGAAGGTTTTTCAGAACAAGGGGTATGGGAATCCAACTCATCCAAGCACTCCCAGACAAATCAGTTTCAGAAATGTAAAGGAACCTTTGCTTTATGATCTAGAAAAGAGGAAAAGTGATCCCAAAAGACCCAACACTAGGCTCAAAGTTTCCCCTACTTTACATCTTCTCTTTCTCTGCCCCTCTATCTCCAACCCTGTAGCTTCATTCTTACCCTTTTGAAGTCACACAAAACTCTTCTACCTTCTGTAGGATTAGACATAAAAGTAGACAAAAGAAGGAGCCTTTCAGGGGAGTGTGACCTTGAGCGGCGGTAGCTATGTGCCAATTTGACAACTCAAAAGCTAAGTAGGTATGTTTGCAGAGAACAAAACTGTGGGGAAAACAAAAGGAGGTTTTGAGAGGGAGTGGGGGGCATAGTCACCCACAAGCCAACTTGATTATGACTGATATTAGAGTTAGATTGAATAGATACATCTTTTTCTCTAGTATATATATGCAGCTTCAGCTCCAAACCTCATGTTCTTAAATGCCTCTAATCATTTCATTTTTCTTTTTTCTCCAACTACACGAACAGGACGAACCTGGGAGATGTGGTGGTTCCTTACTGCAGGCATTTTCAAGCCCCAGCATCATATCATTCTCTTTCAACATTATAGGAAAGAGAATGATATAGTGCCAAAGAACCAATTCACTTGCACAATTTCATTATGCATTCATGTGTTAGAACTTAGAAGCATGTCTTTCATGCCTGGCTCCCTGTATGCCATTTGCAGAGCCCATCAGGATATGGTGGCCTTTGTGGATGGCGTGCGAGGAGCCATGCATGCGCATAATGACCTTTTCATCAAGGGAAGATGATGGAAGACCATTTTTGAATAATTCTTCTAGCATAAGAAGTATATTTCCATAAAAAGAATAAGATTTTTCTTTTCATCTGTTAAAGATATTCATGTTTGTCATGATTGATTCATAGCCCTAACAGAAGTAGAGTAAAAAGATGTAGTGAACTATATACCTCGAAGTGCCTATAGAAAATACATGTACCTTTCCACTGATGATTTGCTTGTCACATGTCAATGATCTCAGCACCATTTTTGTCCTAGATTTTCCAGGTTTGTATCAGGTAAATCTTGAGCCTTTCAGCCTCAGATAAGCTTTCCTCTCCCATTGAATGAAGGTACGTCTCTGAAATCCATGTCCTCTGCCATACACATAGGCCGTTAAATCTTGGTTTAGAAAGATAGAAAGCATGGCCATTATCCGTAGCTGAACATGAGGTATTGGAAGAAGATTTCTTCTTTTTTTCTTTTCTTTCTGTAGTTTTCACAACAACACCAGAGGAGTATGTGCTAAAAGGCCTAATGATCTGCTTAGAAGTATTAACTTTCATTCTAAAAATTTAGTAGCAAGGATCAAGGATGATTTCTAAGATAACAAGGACATTCTTTGATTTCTTCTTTTGCCGTTTTCTTCGTATTCTGTTTCATCTTTCTTTCCTGAATTTGATATTTTCCTTTTCAGTTTAATAGTTGGGATATTTTCCTTTTCAGGTTAATAGTTGGGAGGAAGAATTCTGTGTTGTCGAGCTACATCTTTTCCCTATGTTTCCAAGGTAAAAGAGCACATCAAAGGAACAACAAGAGTTAGGCCGAGTTAGTACATACTAACTTAAAAACCTTGATTTGAGTTCAAGGTTGAAGGTTCAAATATCTGTCAAGTGACTAACCTTCTGATGTACCCAAAAATAAATAAATAAAGGTTAATAACGTGGAGTACTTGGATTAATGATATATATGCTTAGCAGGATTGGCCAAGCTATTTCATTTTTCTTTGCAGGCCAGATAACCATCTCCATTGGAACCACAGCTTGTTAGAATTACACAGTGATTTTGACTGGAATGTATTTGAACTTCCTACATGGCTTCCCCAATCATTTTTTTGATGTCCAAAGTATGTACTACAGACTTCATGCCGGCTTGCCATGCTAGAGACTTTGTTCTTTCCGCTGAACTTGATGACCATAAGATCAGCAACAAGGCCAAGTTGTAAAATTTGAACAAGTTCCAATATCGATCTCATTGGTTAGCATTTTAAGAGCTGCTGATATCCCTGGCCTAAGGTTGGCGCTGTCTCTTGAACACAAAGCGGACCAACTTTGATGAATTGAATGGCTTCGTCTTCAGGGTAGTTCTACTATGTTATGGTGTTAGCCTTGTACCTTTCCCATGCCTGCAGTTTCACAGAGTTGGTAATGTTCCAAAACCTCTTTCCTCCTTAAATTTGAAGCTGCTCTAATATTGTTAAATGTTGCCTTTTGAACCGGGTAATATTTGCCATGTCCTACAACAAAATCAACTGCCGACTAACCATTGATGATTTCCAGAAGCAGTACCCAAAACTGTAAACATCTGTTTTTCACATTAAACGTTCACTGAGGCGTATTCTAGCACAAAGTAACCCCCTTTCTTGCTTCCATTTCCGGTTGCACAAAATGACTGCATTAGCAACGGTACTGCAACAAGCATAAACTAACCAGAGAAGATAGAATTATAGAGGTTTCACTTACAATATGTCCCTGCAACATGAGTAGTAATGTGAGAAATGTCATCTCTCAGAAGCCTCAAAAGACCAAAATCTGAAAATTTTGGGGTCAAATTCTTATCAAGAAATATGTTGCTGGCTTTCACATCTCCGTGCACCACAGGGGGTTGGACGTCCTAGTGGAGATGGGCCAGCCCTCAAGCTATTCCTAATGATATTTTTCGTCCTTGCTTTCCAACCAAATTTCATCCTGGTTTGCTCTCCTCATGTTAAATAACAACAAATAGCATCCAAAACTCTCCAAACACAAATCCATTAATATATGAACTCTCAGATAGACTTTATATCAAAAAGACGGTGAACAAATTCAATTGCCCAAGAAAGTGTGTGCTAAGCTGCTGTGTTACATGAACAAGAAACATCCAACAAAGGATCAGATGAAGGAATTCCACGCGCCGGTCCACTTGCCTTAGTTGAAATCACTCTAGCTAGTAGCTACACAGGTCCCCAAGTACCATTGTATTAATGTGTCATCATTGCCCTCTTTCTAACAAAAACTAAAAAAAAGAAGAAGAAGAAGACAAACAAACAAACAAACAAAAATACAAAAAGTTGAAAGGGTCATTTAGGTGCAATACCAGCTGCTAAAAAAATAATAAATTTAGGTGCAATACCGTCAAAGAGGGTCATTGAGTAAGTTTTGAGATTTTCAATACAAATAAATAATGGTGGGAAAGACTTGGGTTGCATTTAGGATTGCAGTCGTTTTTTATACAGTATTTAATTAAAAGTGTTAATTTATTATAATTAAATTAATTTTAATTAATATTTTGTATAATAAAAAAGAAAAAAATTAAGATATTTAGGTATTAAAAATGTTAAAATGTTTAATAATATTTACATTTCAGATGTTTA